GGGGCTGCTGCTGAGGCTTGGGGGCTGCGCTGTGGCCTCCAGGGCTTTCTCTGCTCCTTCCTCCAGCAGGAGAAACCCCCTGCCTGTCCTTGGGGGCCGCTGGAGCTGGGGGCATGGGGATGTGGGGGAGGGATGCTGGGGACCCCATTCCTGTGGGGCTGATCCCCTTTCCTTCCCCTGCCCTGAAGCAGCCGAGCGCAGGCTCCAGGCCAGAACCCCACCGGCCCCTGTGGCTCAGGCCTGGGACCAGGATGAGGGGCTCTGGGGGGCCCTGAGCGGACAGGGGGGTGCAGGGAGCCCTGGGACAGCAGCTGGGGAGGGAAAAGAGGAGCAGGGCGTCTTTAAGCCGCTAACCCTCCCCCCGAGCCCATCTCAGCCCATCCCGGTCCAGGCGCGGGCAAAGTGCCGGAGCCGCAGGCCCCCCCCTGCCGCCGCCATCTGTGGGGTGGGAAGCGCCTCAAGAGGGGCTCGGAGCCCCCATCGCCCCCAGCCCCATCCCCGCTGCCCCCACGGAGGAGTTCCCACGAGCTCTGGGGTCCGGCCGACCCCCGGCCCCGTGTGCAGGCTCCCCCTCCCAGGCAGCCCTCCTGGGGCCGGGGTCCCCATCCCGCCCGGTGTCCCCCGGTCCCCCCGCGGTCCCGGTGTCCCCCAGGCCTTACCCGAGCGCAGAGCGGGGCGAGCAGGCAGGCGAGGAGGAGCGGGGGGCCCATGTTGGAGCGGGGCACAGCCCGGCCGCCGGCCCCGAGCTGAAATAGCGGCGGGCCTGGCTGAGTGACAGCACAAGTGCTGCGGGCACCGCACCCCCCGCGGGCAGCTGGGCCCGCCGCCCCCGGCCCCGGCCCGGCCCTGCCCGGCCCGCGGGGCCCGACGGGGGCGGTGCGGGGGCCGAGGGGGTGCGGGGGCTCGGGGGGGTCCCGCTGGCCGGGCCGGGGACGCGGGGCCGGGCCGGGGGAGCAGAGCCCGGGCAGGGCGGGGGGAACGCGGCAGCTGCGCCGGGCGCGGGCCGGGGATGCCGCGACGGGGCGGGCGGGAGGGGGAGAGCGGGCCCGCTGCCCCCCGGCTGCTCCGGCGCCGGGACAGGGACCGGGACAAGGACCGGGACAAGGACCGGGACAGGGACCGGGACAGGGACCGGGATAGGGACCGGGACAGGCTCCGACACCGGCAGTGGGACAGGGGCCTGGACCTGGACCTGGACCTGGACCTGGACCTGGACAGGAGAGGGACCGGGACCGCTTCTTCCCGCCCCGCTCCGCCGCGCCTCCCGTCGGGGCGAGCCCGCCCGTCCATCCCCGGCCGTTCCCGATGCCGGTGCCGTCTGTGTTGGCGTCGGGGCCCGTCCCAGTGCGGAGTCGGGAGAGGGACGGGCAGCGTCCCGCCTGTCCCGGGCCCTGCGGGTCCCCACCGGGCGGGGGCTGCTCCGGGAGTCCCCGGGCCCCCGAGCAAGACTCTCGGGCCCCGCTGTCTGTCCCGGCGCTGTCCCCGACCCCCCGGTCCCGGCGCTTTCTCCGTCCCCCACGGCAGTCCCAGTGCTGCCCTCTACTCCCGCGGCCGGTCCCGGTGTTTGCCCCGACCCCCGGTGCCGGTCCCGGTGCTTCCCCCGACGCCCGGTGTCTGTCCCGGTGCCGCCGCCGTGCCGTGGCACCAGGTGGCAGCATCGCCCCGGCCACCGGCCCCGGTCCCGGCCGCCCTCGCAGCCCGCGCTGCCGCACCGGGAGCATCCCCATCCCCGGGGGACCCCAGTGCAGCCGGGTTGGAGACCCACGAATCCCCGGGCAGGGCGGAGGGGGCGAGGAGTTCCTGCCCTCCCGGGAAACCGAGTCCTGGGCTTGGCAAGGAAGTGAAAATGTGTCGGTGGCACTGGTGGCACCACCTGGACCCCGCTCGGCACTGTGGGGCCCCTGCCCAGCGTTGTCCCTTCCTTGGGGATAAATGTCCTGGGTGGCCTCGGTGCGGGTGCCCAGCACGGGGATGGGGAAAGGGACACAGGAGGAGGGCTGCGGGATGTGTCCCGTCCATAGCCAGGAGCTGAGCGGCGCTGGCAGGGCTGTCGCTGTCCCCAAAGACAGCGTGTCGGGTGCTGGCAGGGCTGTCGCTGTCCCCAAGGACGTGTCTGGAGCCGGTGAGTGTCGGGCACGGGTGACCCGCGGCGTGGCCGGGCCGTGGCGGGGGCAGCGGCGCTCACTTGCCCGTCTGTCTGTCCGATCCCATCCGTCCGCCCCGCCGCCCCGTCACCCCGCATCAGCGTCAGGGCGAGGAGCGGCGCTGGCCGGGGGTCCTGGGGCCGCCCCCAGCCCTGCCAGCCCTGCCAGCCGAGCAGATGTTCCGTGCCACCGGCACCGCGCGGGCAGGGCGGACGTGATGGCTCTGACAGGGCTCCAGCCCCGCTCCTGGGGACAGGGCTGGCCACGGCTGCGGCACGGGATCTGTGACAGCCCCTGCCCCTGCAAACCGCGGCTCCCGGCATTTGGGGTCCCACAGATGCTGGCCAGCCCAGGACTGGGACTTCCCGCGCTGCTCTGGGTGCTGGGTCACCCGATTTTGGAGGGCTCCCCCTCCCATGGCACCCCTGAGCTGCCTCGCAGTGCAAGTGTCACTCACGGGTGTTGGGACCAGGCGTACCCCAGTGTGTGTGCTGGGACAGTGACATCCCCAGTGTGGGGGGCAGCTGGACCTGCCGTGACCCCCGTGTGGCACAGTCGTGTCCCTCAGGTGTGGTGTGGTGCGCTGGGACCAGCTGTGACCCCAGCGCAGTGCCCAGGGGGCAGAGGGAGCAGCTGGGAGTGCAGAGGTGCCACACGCCAGCACAGCCCCATAAAGCACCGGAGCTTGGGTTTTATGTGGCAATAAAAGATAATGTCAGCTATAAAGTGCTAGAGCAGGTCCTGGCGTGCCGAGTCGGGGGGGCACAGGGGGGTGGGCAGCCCCCAGCTCCCTGGGGACCCCCCAGCAGGGCAATGCCTCCCCCCAGCAGGGCAATGCCTCCTCGGGGTGAGTGGGTCCCCAGCTGGGGACACCCCCAGCGCTGTCACGGGCTGAGGTTACGGTCAATGCATTAAAGCTGCTGCTTTGGGTGGTTGTTGTTGTTGTTTTAATGGTTTTATTGGGTGATGCTGGGCCGGGCCTGGCAGGCCCTAATGAAGGAGATTGATGGCTTAATCGCCTGCAGCCATTACGGGGTAATTGAATGGTTGTGTACATATGATCCCACCGTCAATGCCGTGTGGCTGGCAAGAGCAGTGCCTGGAGCTGGGGGGACACACCGAGCCCCCCTGCACCCTGAGGGATGCGGTGTGGGGGGAGCAGAGCCCACGGCCTCGGGATCCCATCCATGCCCACGGTCCTGGCTGTGCTGGTGTCCCTGGAGGTCCCCAGGTCCATCCAGTGGCACCAGGTCACCCCATCCAGCTCAGCTCTCACTCAGGCCACTGTGACCAGGTGTTTTAATGATGCTTTTAATTAACAGGCCCCAGCTACAGGGATGAAGAGCAGCGTGGGAGCGGAGCTGGGAGCAGGAGGGCCCAGCAGGGATGGCAGCCCCAAACCGGGCTCACCCCTGACCCCCTCCCTGTGGGAATCCCCGAGAAGCAAACCTGGCACAGCCCCAGGCCGGTCCCTGCCGAGGTGGGAGTCCAGCTCCTCATTCAGAGTGTGACAGCCAGGTGTTTTACAGTATTTGCTACCTGTGATCATCCATCACAGCAATCGATAGCGTTCCTGCAGAGCTTTATTAATGATCTTGTCACCGGCCTGGTGCGGGGTGCCCGGGGTTGTCGAGAATGATAGATCATTAAGAGCTTTTGCTGCTATTTATTCTCCAGTGACCTTGTCTCTCTCCATTGTTGCTTGCTTAAGAGTTATGAATGCGAGACATGATAATTTGATATTGATCTATTTGGTAAGTTAAAAAATTTACTGCATCGTTGATGTTTTAACAAAGGATGGGCTGGGGCCCTCCCGCTGCTGTGGGCTGCACACGTGTGTGTCCCTGTGCCTGCCACGTGGGACAGACACACACTGAGAGGCGCCTCAGGAGCTCTGGGTGTGCCTCGTGTCCCCATCTCGGGTCCTTTTGAGCCCGGAGTACGGAAATCCAGGAGATGCCACAGTGGGCAGGGTGTGGGGATGGACAGAGCGGGCCCATGGCCAGACCCCAGTGCAGTGGGCTGGAGAAATCCTGTTCCCATCCACACCCCCTTCCCCTTTTTCCCAGCCCCGCTCTCATCCCAGCCCCTCCCTGCCTGCTGTGCCCAGCACCGTGTGCCTGCCATGGTCCCCTCCATGGTCCCCTCACATCTCCTCGCAGACTTTTGGGGCTCTGGTGACCCTAACAAAGGAATCCCTGTAATTACTCGTGCTCCTTGTTCCTCCTGCCCTCCCTGGTGCTTCCAGAGCCCCACCAGCTGCTGGGAAAGCTGGGGCTGCCTGTCACCCCTCAGCACTGGACAGGACCAGAGCAGATGGACCCAGCTGGGGGCTGCTGTGCCCCACTGGCACCATCGACCCTCTGGGGCTGGCAGCTCATGTGTGGGGTCAAACAGGGCAAACTTCCCCGTTGAAATGTAGGATTCATCATGAAAGGTGGGATTCATCAATAGTGTACTGGGGTCATTTGGTGGTGGCGGATGAACTGGATAACACAGTCAGTATTTATGTGTGATTTTAGATTTATTCTTTATTTCTGCTGGGAAATCATTCCCTGTGAGGGTGGGCAGGCCCTGACACAGGTGCCCAGAGCAGCTGTGGCTGCCCCTGGATCCCTGGCAGTGCCCAAGGTTGGACAGGGCTTGGAGCACCTGGGACAGTGGGAGATGTCCCTGCCATGGCAGGGGTGGCACTGGATGCATTTTAAGGTCCCTTCCAACCCAAACCATTCTGTGATTCCTGCAAAGGGTTCCCCACAAGGAAACCCCAACCCTGCAGCTCTGGCTCAGCTCAGCCAAGAGGGACAAACCCTATTTTTATTGGACATTCATCAAGGGCTAGGCTGCAGTCAGTGAGCCCAGAGCTGCCAGGGAGGATCCCCTGGCTCCTCCTCTGGGGCAGAATGCCCTGGATCAGGGCCAAGCCCTCCCAGGTGGGCCCTAGGCTGGGTAGAAGCGTTTCAGCAGCTCCTTCTTGTTGACTTTGCCCATCTGGTTGCGCGGGATCTCCTCCACCACGATCAGCTCCGTCGGGATGGCGTAGGGAGCCATGGTGTCCCTGGAACACCAACCTGGGCTGTCACAGCTGGGCAGGGCCAGCTGAGCCTTCCCGGGAGCCCAACCAGCTCCACCTGGGACCCCCACCCACACCCCGGGAGCCCATTTAAGCTCAGCCCTCCCAGAGATGTGGCAGGGTGTGTGTTCCCAGTTTGTCTCTGCAGGCCCTGCAGCTGGGATCAGTGATGTCCCCAGGACAAGGACAGTGCTGTGAGGAGTGCAGGGCCCCACGAGCTCCTGGTGCCAGCCCCGAGGTGCCGCAGGTGAGTACTCCTGGGGGATGGATGGGTGACAGAGCAGCGATCTCAGCCCCATCCCGGGCGCAGGGGGGGCTCTGCTGCCTTCTGCTGCCCGTGTGTCACCAAGCCCGGGCCGTGCCCAGCACCTCGCACCGGCTCCAGGGTGAGATGCCAGGGCTGCCGAGCCCCCGGAGCCCCGGGCGGCCTCCTGCCACCGCCACCAGCGCCCGGCCATATGGAGCCGCCAGCTCGGGATGGCGCCTGTCGCCGCGGAGCACCGGGCACGGCGAGAGCCGCAACATGAATCACTCTGAGGAGGGACATGTGTCTCCTGCCAGCAGTGCGAGAACGGGGCCCGGCCAGCCTAAGTGACATCAAAAATAAAGGGGAGAGACAGGGCGAGAGGGAGAGGCGGGCGGGGAGCGCAGCCGGACCCTGCGGGGGATTCGCGTTCAAGGGCACCGGAGCGGCGTCCCTGTCACAGAGCTGGGGACAGCCACATCCCCGTCCCGGGGCTGGGGACAGCCACATCCCCGTCCCGGGGCTGGGGACAGCCGTGTCCCTGTCACAGAGCTGGGGACAGCCACATCCCCGTCCCGGGGCTGGGGACAGCCACATCCCCATCACAGGGCTGGGGACAGCCACGGGAGGAGACGTGCAGGGAACACTCTGGGAGGTGGCCCTGGGCAAAGCCCCCTGCCCGACACCCCCAGAACAGCCTGGGGGATCTCCAAGGCTGCAGGTGGGGCATGGAGGGCTCTCCTGGCTGGGTCACCAATGTCCCCAGCATGGGATATGGGGATGAGCAGCTCATCTCTCCTGTGAGGAAAAGCTGAGAGAGATGGGCTTGTTCAGGTGGGAAAAGAGGAGACTTTTTATGAGAACTTATTTATAGGGTCTTGTCTGGAGTGCTTGGACAAGGGGGAATGGCTTCAAACTGCCAAAGAGAAGGGATGGATGGGAATTTGGGAAGAAATTCTTCCCAGTGAGGGTGAAAAGGCTCTGGCACAGGTGCCCAGAGAAGCTCTGGCTGCCCCTGGATCCCTTGGAAGTGTCCAAAGTCAGGGTGGATGGGGCTTGGAGCACCCTGGGCTAGTGAAGGTGTCCCTGCCCATGGAAGGGGTGACACTGGGTGAGCCTTAAGATCCCTTCCCACCTAAACCATTCCATGACTCTGTGATCCTGTCCATGAGGACACTGCTGGCTTTGAGCCTGCTCCCTGTCCCCTCCTGGGGTTTTACCTGGCCCAGTCCTTGAGGTCCTTCACGGAGAGCATCTGGCCCTGGCGCAGCTTCACCACGGCGCTGACCCGCTGTCCCCACACCACGTCCGGGGGCCCGATCACCGCCACGTCTGCAGGGACAGCAGGGACCCTCAGGGACCTGGGCAGCTGCTGGGCACAGCTGGGCACAGCAGGGCTCAGGTGTGAGGGGGAGGGAAACGCCACGGGATGTCAGCACACACCTGTGATGTGCGGGTGCGCCAGCAGCTGCCGCTCCACCTCCAGCGCGCTGACCTTGAACCCCCCGTTCTTGATGATGTCCACGGAGGTGCGGCCCTTGATCCAGTACACCCCATCCTTGTAGGCTGCTGTGTCTCCTGGAAAACACACAGCTCCATCACAGGCTGCTCCTTCACCCCCTCTGCCTCTCCTGGCACGTGGCCGTGGCACTCTGCTGGTGCTGCAAGGGGAATGGGCTCCCACTGCTGCAGGGGATGGATATTGGGAAGGAATTCCTGGCTATGAGGGAGGGGAGGCCCTGGCACAGGGTCCCCAGAGAAGCTGTGGCTGCCCCTGGATCCCTGGAAGTGTCCAAGGCCAGCCTAGATGGGGCTTGGAACAGCCTGGGATAGTGGAAGGTGGAATGAGATGAGCTTTAAGGTCCTTCCAAACGAAACCATTCTGTGATTCCACAAAAAAAGAAAAAAAAGGTGTGGGGGGGAATGACATTGGGAAAATGAGCCTGTCCTGAGCAAGATGTTTGGTCCAACCTGTCCTTCTCACAGGTGTGATCCCATAATCAGCCCAGCCCAGGTACCACAGAAGTGCCGGCATGATGCAGTTTTCACAGCCCATTTCCAGCTCACCTCTGGCACTGTGGTGCAGCAAAGGCCCGGGGATTTAAACTGTCAGGGCAAGGAAACATCAGAATCGGTGCTGAATATCCAGGCTGCTCCCCAGAAGAGCTGTGTCCCTGCTCAGCTGGCACCTGCCAAAATCCTGAGCAGCTCAGCCCAGCCAGGGAATGATTGATGGTTCCTGTATTTGCTGCCCCTTGGCGCTCTGTGGCTGCTGAAGGCTGTCTGGAATGTTCTGGAGTTGGGGAGAGTTTGAAACTGGGGCTCTCGGGGTGTTTGGCTGCTTGGGGTGGGAGGAAGCCGTGGCTGCTGTGATGAACTGCTTCTGCACCCTGATCCTAGGGTGTGTGACTGACACACGGTGGGACAGGGGACAGTAATTAACTGGTGGCACTGGAGAGGCAGGAGCTGCTTATTCACACAGAGAAGATGGGGAGAGGAGAGGGAATTCAGCCCTGCCCCAGTGGCACACAGCTCCCATGTCACTCTTTGGGGTGTCAGCACAGGAAACCAGCCACATTTGCCTTCCCTGTGCCCTGATGGGGTGAGTGATCCCTGACAGCTCTGCTCCCCACACAGATCCCCGCATTGCACTGGCAGCACAGCCCAGGCAGGGCATCTGTCACATTATTATTGTGACTGCTGGGAGCTCCTGGGACCAGCTCTGCAATTCCCCCCATCTCCTCCTTTCCATCTCCTCTCCAGCAGCAGGCCCTGGCTGTCAGTGCCCACGCTGACAGCCTCGAGTGCCCTGGGGATGCCATCCACCGAGGACAGCCCTGTCACCCTCTGCCCTGCACCATCTGCTTCCAGCCCAGCACATCAGGCAGCACTCCCTGCCTCCCCAGCCAGTGGGGAATTCCAGATCAGTGAAAAGGAGATGCTGAATTTGCTCAGTGACTGTCCCCAGCAGTGCTGAGTGTCACCTCCAACGTGGGGCTGCCCTGAGAGCCCCAGCAAGGACTGTGCCTGTCCTTCTGGGGGTCACAGGTGAGTCCCTGCCCCATGAGCCCCCAACCCTGGATGGAGCTGCTGCTGCTGTGTCCCTTCCATCCCAGCTGCTCCATCCAGCAGGATGCAGCTCAGAACCACAACCAGCACTCCCTGCCCTGGGCCAGCTGCAGCAGAAAGGGAATTTTGGCAGATGAGAGGAGGGTCTGTGACGCCCCCTCTCCTGCCCTGCCTGCCTGGGGCACTGCACCCAGCTCCTGTCAGCACACAGAGCCGTGGCAGCAGCACCTCGTGGCACGTGGGGCCGTGGGATTGCTGCTCCCTGACAGCAGCCGTCACCGCTACCTTTGGATTTGTTTCAAGATGCTCAGTGGGCATCTGTTCTGTGAAATGTTAAAGGCTCTGCTGAGCTGCATACTGAGCAGGCTCTGTGCTGGTGGGGGCTGCCCTTTGCTGGAGTTACAGGCAGTTACAGATATATTTATCCAGTTAAAAACATAGAATTAGGGGAAGGTTTGGGCTGGAAGGACTTTGAAACTCATCTTGTTCCACCCCTGCCATGGCAGGGACACCTTCCACTATCCCAGGGTGCTTCAAGCCCTGTCCAGCCTGGCCTTGGGCACTGCCAGGGATCTGGGGCAGCCACAGCCGCTCTGGATAACCTGCTTCAGCCCTCACCACCCTCCCAGGGAGATGCAGAAGGAGACACAGGCAATGGAGACCAACATTTCCCAACTCAAACTGCAGAGATTTCTGCCATGAGGTTCCTCAAGTTGCAAAATCCTCACTGCAAACACAGAAGGGCCCTTGGGACTCTGCTGCAGTTTGAGCACCTCTTTCAGTGAGTGCTGAGACCTCGTGGGCACCCAGAGGCTGCTGGAGCTGCTCCCCAGGGTGTGGAGAACAACAAGAGCCCCTCTGCTCCTCGAGCTGAGCTGCAGGATCAAACCCTCACCTGTGTCAACACCCTCACCCCGTACAGGGTGGTTTGTTCCTGGCAAACACAGTTCCCACATCAAAGCCACAACCAGCTATTGACCTGGGGAACACTTGGGCTCAGGAAAGGAAACGCTGAGTGGCTTTGGGGAGCTCCAAGACAGCTGAAGTATGCACAAAAAAGGACTTTTTAGGTAAATCAGGTGACTTCAGCCTGCCCTGGACAGAGGTGAGGAATGTTCTGGGATGTGCTGGACAAAGAGGGACAGTGCTGGCTTTGCACTGGGGCTCTGTGAGGCCAGGATTCCAACCCTGCACAGGGGTGATGAGAGGTGAGCCCACCCCAGGCTCACCATCGTGCTTGGGGCACAGACGTCCCCCGGGAGCCCGTGCCTGTTTGCCAACAGGTGTCACCAGCTTGGTGGCAGTGACAGCACAGACGTGCGAGCCGGGAGCGGCAGGCGGGGCCGGCCCGGGGCAGGCGGTGCCACCGCGATTTACAAACTGTCACAGAGCTGTCGCCGAGCTGCCACCAGGCTCCCCCGGCTCCTGGGAGCTGCCTCCCCGCCCCACGGGACCCCTGCACCTCCTCCTCGGTGCTCAGAGCTCCACAGGGACCTGGCAGGCGCTTCCAGGTGATTTCAGGTGTGGTGCCAGCTCTGGGACAGGGAAAAGGTCTGTTAGGGCAGAGGAGCTGGTGCTGCCCTTTGAGTGAGGTGCACAGAAGAGAATCCACTTGGAAAGGGAAGATCAGTGAAATCCTTTTGTCCTGCCACAGCGGATCTGAGAGCAGGGATGTTTCTGACTTGGCTGTGTCCTGGGTGCTCTCCCACCCAAGGATGGGCACTGCCAGCTTGGAACCAAAGCCCACAGCCCAGCGCCACCAGCAGAGCCTACCCCATGAGCATCATTCCCAGAGATGTGGCTCTTTGCAGCTCTGATGTCCTCCCATGCCTGTCCCAGCTCCAGCAGACCAAGTGCTGCACGGCAGAAAACACCAAGAAACAGCAAATGTCCCTTAGAAAGGCAAATGATCTTTCTGATTATTTCAGCCTCCTGCTCTGAGCAGTTCATGCTCCAGCCCGGAGCTCCAGGGGATGCTGGGGGGCTCCTCCCTGCCAGCAGAGGATGTGCTTGGAGCACTTTCAAATATTAATTAGACCTTTTTGCTGTTAATGAATCACTCCTGATTTTTGCAAACTCTTGGCTCCGTGCAGAGCCCAGCCCAGCGCTCCTCAGAGTGGGGACAGGGAGCAGGAATGTCTCACAGCCACTCCTCCAGGTGACACAGAGAGCTCCTCTGGGGACAGCCACCATGTGCCACCCACGGGCAGCCAGCAGAGCTCCTTCAGACCACACGGTGCACCTTGGGAGCCTTTATGTTGGTTTTTTGTTTGTTTTGTTTTGTTGTTTTTTTTTTCCCAAATTCTAGGAGGAATTCCCTGCTGTCAGCTGCTCTCCTGCCATGAGGATTCCTCATTTCCAGAGGGAAGAGCTGAGCACACCCTCCTGCATTCCTCTGGAACTGCTGCTCTCACCCAGTGAGTCTATGTGGTGGGGACACCAGCAAGCTCTCAGCTGGAAACCCCCAGGAATCTTGCAGGAAGGCAGTGGGGATAATCAATCTTTGCCCTTCTCTGGTGCCTTTCAGCAGAAGATCCCCAAGCACACTGGTCCAGAGGCTGATCAGGCACAAAGGGAACAGCTGGGGATGAGGAGGAGCCCCTGTGGGATGAGGAGTGGCCTCACACCCCAGGAGCAGTGGGCAGGAGGCTCTGGATCTTTGCTCTACCCTGGCATTAACTCCTACCTGCCTCCCACCTCCCTGGAACCACTGCTGGTGCTGCTGCTCCGTCAGGCTGGGGCAGAGCTCAGCCTCTGGCACATACACCTCACTCATTAGGGTTAGGATTTATTCTCCAGGCAGGTGATGAAGAGCCTGAGCCCTGATCCTGATCCACACCTCTGGGAGAGCAGAGCCAAGATCTGGGAGCTCAAACCTCCTTTGCCAGGAGAGGATTTTGCAGCAGCAAGTCTCCAACCCCAGCACCCACAGCTGGATGGGGACCAGCCAAGGCTTGTGATGGTCCCCCTGACCCCCTCAGAGGATGCTGGCAGGAAGATCCTCCTCCATCCTCCTCCATCCTCCTCCACCCTCCTCCATCCTCCTCCATCCTCCTCCACCCTCCTCCATCCTCCTCCATCCTCCTCCATCCTCCTCCTTTGAGCACAGTTTTCCTGCCTGCAGATCAGACCATGGGAATGCTCCTTCCCAGGCATTGGGATCCCCCTGCAGCCACAAGCTCCACGTGCCTGTCACATTTCTCAAGTGCTTTCAAGTTTCCGTGCTCTTTCCAGGGCAGTTGAGTGTCTCACCACCCTCCTAAAGCCCTGGGAAGGATTTTTTTGCAGGTGGCACAGACACAGTGGGGCTGGGCAGCTGCTGAGTGTGGCACTGCAGTGACATTGCTGTGCTCACTCTGCCTCTCTTCCCATCCCTCTGGGCACAAGCTCCCAAGCCCAGTGCTAAAAGAAATGGTTTGTTCCCATTCCCAGAGGCTCCTGTGCCGGAGAACAGCCACGTGGGGTGGATAAATGATTATAAGGCAGGTGCTAAAGGCTTTTCATAGGAA